ACTCTCTGCTTTGGCATCTCCGCTGCTTGCTGGATCTTTACATTAGTCATGCAAGAAATTATGGCTGAAATTCGCCTCCGCCATGTCTTTGTCACGTCCTATATTGACGACTCAACCCTTGAGAATCCTATTCTTCCCCTCCTCATCTGACAAACATTCAATTATGTCGCATTGCTTCATAATCTTGGATTCTTCCTGAGTTTGCACAAATGCACATTTCTTCCTTCTCAGAAAATCGCAATTCTAGGCTTCACGATCGATTCACATTTCAAACGTGTAAGGGTTCCTCAAGACAAGACCGAAAAGTTGCTCAAATTAATTAACTCAACCACACAATCCTCACTCTCCAACAGAACAGTAGGAAAGCTCGCAGGAAAACTAATCGAACTTACAAAAGTTTTTCTTCCAACTCCGCTCTTTATTTCTTCCCTCTATGACTCTATCTCACCTTCCAACTGGGATTCACCAGCCCGAATCTTGGATGACCTCATCTCTGACCTATGTTGGTGGCTCCACCACCTTCCTCACCTTCCGGACCATCTTTGGATCATTGATCAAACAACTTGCTCAATCTCTACCGACGCTTCCGCATCCCGAATCGGAGCTGTTATTTCCCCACTGTTTTCCTCGTCACTAGCACTAAACCAATGCTTACCTCTCGAACTCATTCAAACTTCTTCAACCCACAAAGAATTGTATGCTATGCATGAAACCTTCATTATCCTTGAATCAAACCACCCCCATCTGCCTCCCTCCACCTCCATTAGGCTTTTATCAAACAGTCAATCTGTTGTCGCTCTCCTTCTTAATCTCCGCTCGAACGACCCAGTCTTTAACCTTTGGCTTCGTTTCATCGCTTCAATCCTCCTCCTCCACGACACACATCTTGCACCTATCTGGATCCCTAGGACTCTCAATACTGGCACGGATTATCTATCCAAAACAGAGGATAACACTGACTGGGGCATTACCAATCACGTTAGGCATAGTATCTTCTCAACCCTAGGCGCCCCTGCTATAGATCTCTCTGTTTTCGATTACCACCATACTTCTTCAATTTTTATCTCCAGATCCTGGTCTACAAAGTCTTTTGCTGTCGACGCACTTTCACTGGATTGGAACCTATTAAACAAGCTATTCGTGAAAAGTAGACATTTCATGAAAACTGGATTGAGTCAAAAACTTTTAGATTAATTTTCAAAAAACAATATTTTTTTCATTTCTCGAACCCATCTTCCATGTGCAATCACCAATTTTTTTGAGAAAACCAGTATTTTGGGAATCATAACAAAGTGGAGTCAACAAGATAAACAGCAAAACTAATTTAGGGAGTACCTTAAGGCTAATGGTTTGTTTGATAAAAGAAAAAATAGTTTTTTTCAAAAAAAAAAAAAAAAAAAAAAAAAAAAAAAGGTTTTTCGGGAAGTCGAACAAACCGCCTTCACCTTTCTCTGCCTTTTGGCTACGATCAAGTGTGGCATCTGTTGTGATCAGTATAATATCTGATCCGTGGCCCATCTGACCGCTAAAATAAATAAATAATAAATAATAAATAATAAAATCCCTCCAGCTTCCTTTCGTCGCCTTCCTGCACCTTGCCCTGCGTTCCTTCCAGCACCTTGCCCAGGCTTCCTCTGCCTTGCACCTCCTTCCTTCCCCTTCATTCCCCCACCTTCCGCTACCTTCAATCCACCACCTTTCCCCACCTTTCCCCCCCCGACCTTCACCTTTGACAGCCTTTTGGCTAAGATCAAGTGTAGTATCTGTTCTGATCAGTATAATATCTGATCCGTGGCCCATCGGGGCACTAAATAATAATAATAAAAAAAAATATACCACCTTCCTTTCCATGCCTTCCCGCACCTTGCCCTGCCTTCCCTACCGCGTATTCCCCCGCCTTGCCCCGCTTGCCCTCCCCTGCCCTCCCCTGCTAACCCACGGCCTGCCTTCCTGCGCCCTGACTTGCCGCACCTATGTTCTTCCCACGTAATTTGTCGTTTTTGCAAGTGACCGATTACGTAATCGGTCAGTTTCAAGAACGACCGATTACGTAATCGGTTGTTTTTTTTTTTCCGTCGCCTTCCCGCACCTTGCCCCTCGTTCCTTCCAACACCTTGCCCCGGCTTCCTCCGCCTTGCACCGCCTTCCTTCCCCTGCATTCTCCCACCTTCCGCTGCCTTCAATCCCCCACCTTTCCCCACCTTCCCTCCCCCCCACCTTCACCTTTCTCGGCCTTTTGGCTAAGATCAAGTGTAGTATCTGTTCTGATCAATATATCCGCCACCTTCCTTTCCATGTCGTCCCGCACCTCGCCCCGCCTTCCCTCCTGCGAATTCCGCCGCCTTGCGCTGCCTGCCCTACCCCGCCTGGCCCCGCCTCGACTTGCCGCACCTATGTTCTCCCAGGTCGTTTTTGAAAGTGACCGATTACGTAATCGGTCAGTTTCAAGAACGACCGATTACGTAATCGAGCGTTTTTTTTTATTTTAAGCCCAAGGTGTTGTAGAGGCCAAGGACCAGACACTTTCATAGGTGTGGGGAATGAAGTTTTCAAGGCTGTGGGGCCGGGGAGGGTGTGGGGAATGACATGTCATAGGTGGTGGGCGGGTCGGGCGTGGGGCTGAAAATAAAAGAAATATTTTGGGTAGGTGGGGTTGTCTTGATGTGGAAATAATAATTTTTTTTTTTTTTTTTTTAACACTTGGGCAATGCTAGAGGTCCTGGCGGAAGCAGACACCGCTAGCATTCAGGGGGAGCAGCACCTGCTGGAAACCGGGCCCAGTGTCCCTTACGTAATCGAGATAATCATGGGTCATAAACACACATGCTGGAAACCGGGTCTTGCGTCCCATTGGGGTTTGTAGCAGCAACCTTGCTGGAAACCGGGTCTAGCGTCCCATCCAATTAATATCCTTATCTTCCTAGGTCTGATATCTTCGTCCCGAGTCTGGGGGCGGCCACTGGGGCCCAGCAGTGATTGAGTCACTGATGAGGATAAAAATAACATGCCCAACTCTGAAGCGAGACTAAGAAAAATACTCTTAGGCAGGAGCGGGTGGAAAATTAAATATTTGAGAAGAATAAATTGAAAATCAAACGAATAATGACAAGCAAAGCATTAAAATGAATTTGAAGAACAACAAAAAATACATACAATGGTGCACCCCTCCGATGTGCACTGCTATTGTAGCACATATAATGAACCATTTGGGAGAAGCCTCGACCGAGGCCTCAACTTTCGTGAGCTCCGAAGCAAGATGAGGCATATATTCTCCTCCTCAACTTTCTGACTATCTTCTGCATCTATACACTCATTATTTTCGATATCCTGCAAAGTTCTGGCTATTATCTGTAATGTACTTGTGTACAATGCTCTATCTGCTTTCAAACCGAAGTTATAACAAAGAATCCTACAGTCCCACGAAAATCTATGTATCACAGGTCTGTTTGCCACAAGTCCTCGAGGATCTGTATGGTTATATGGATGGTACTGACCATTCCCGCTCTCAGCATACCAGTGTCCCACAAATTTCTCGCCTTCTAAAAGTTTCTTTACTTTAACTATAAAATAAGGTTTTCCATTCTCTTCGTCGTCTTTCCTTGCCCGTACAGCCACAAAAGTTTCCTCCTTCAAGTCCTCAAATCCGCCTCTCAGTTTTAAAACTCTAGCCTTTTTTCTATGTCTGACATATAATGGCCTTTCAGGAGGAATCATATTTGCGTTTAAAATTTCTGTCTTTACAACTGTTTCCTTGTCCCTATCATATTCATGGGAGACACAAGAGTCAATAATCGGCCATACAAATGGAAGTTGCAAGATAGTTGTATCGAAGTCCATGTTGTCTTGCTCGACCAAGAAACTTGTCCACCATGCGAAGGACTCATTGCTGATGTATCTTGCAAACAAGTTGACATTCTTGCGTATACCGGCCAATGATGCAGTCTTCTTGATTATCCTTTTCTCCTCGGCCGCTTTGATCCTCTCATCCATACTACGCACCACATGACGTGCAGCTGCATGCACATCCCCCTCTGGAAATGTCTTGAAAATAGCAAGGCCTGCTTCATCACCCGGTTGCCACGCCGATGTGGAAAACTGCTTACTACAAATGGCAACCTCTCCCTATAGATTTTCTTGACACGAAAGTGTTGATTGAAACTGATGTCGTGAAGTTGTGCCAAGTGGTGCTCCACATAAGCCTTCCAACCATATACTTCGAAAACCCGTTGTACGTGCACACCTGTATATTTAGTGTAAGGTTGTTTGATCACTGTCTCCAAAGCAGGGAGATCATGCGCATTCTGGTGTGCAAGAGCTCTCGAAAAGCAACTAAACATCTGATCGATGTTCTTGTGAGTATGACCTACCAAAAGGAAATTGAGTTTGACTTTCTCGAAGACATTCATTCGCACTAGATGCACCAAGTATGCCAAGACATACTTGTTCTTGTTCTCCCTTGACGTATTATCGAGCATCAAGAACAAAACCTTTGGTAAAGGCCTTGGCAAATCCGAAATGACTCTGTGCAGCACCGTGAGCATGGAGTTGGAGTCCATCTTGAAATTGTCGAAAAACATCATAGTGTATGCTATCCGCAAGCGACCCTCCACTTTCGCACCTGCAATATGTACCTTGAGGAAATCTCCTTCCCTGATCTTTGGGTCCTTCGGGACGCGGTAGAAGTGTGGGAGAATCGTCTTGCTCTGATCTATTCCATCCACAATGATGGCGCTTCGCTTTCTCCCGACGGTCCATCAATTTCTGTCTCTCAATCCTCTGGGCCTCGAGGTGGTAGTCAAGCATTTTCTAAAAATTCTCTGTCAAAACAAGAACAAAAAATGTTCATTTAGTATATTACATGGATATGTAAAGGGAGAGCGGACGCAATTACAAAGTCCGATTACAAAAACAGAACATGAAAAGAGGATAACATTTGATATATACCTTTCTCAATTAGGGTAGCAGCTCTTCCACGTTCGAACTTAAGTTTTGCACACTGCGCACAGATAGAGAATTTGTTCGTAGCCGGGATGCACACCTCGGAATACCGAGCCATCCATATCTTCATGAAGAAAGAAAGAGAGGGGACGACATCCTAGGGATGCAGACGCCGATAGTTGGCCATAAAAAATTCGTAAACCTCCGCCTTTGTCAAGCAGTCAATGAGATCAAATCTATCAGAATGTGGCATGGACTCCGTGTTCATGGCAAAGTACACCTTCATCCAAGCATACACAGCCATGTACCGTGCGGAAGGACACCGATTCCCTGCATTGCCATGCACGTAAGTATGAACACCATGACAAACCTTGTTGCGGATGGCAGCAACTCTGGTTTTGCAAAGGCCGTACAGGCAGCCCCATGCAAGGGAACAGACAAATCTGTTCGCGAAAGCAAGACGAAGCTTCTCAAGAGTCCTATTAGCATTGAAGCACGAAACTTTTTTGATCTCATTGAGCAAAAATCTCGCCTGTTGTGGCTGCTTCATAGCCCAAAACTTCCTTTTTTCCTCTAACACTTCTTCCAATCTGAATATTGATATGCATGACTTCGCGCAACACGCAACATGGAGAGCTCTGGAGACGGAAGCAACTGAAACCAGTTCACGAGCTTTCTTGTTATAATCGCGCGTATTTCTCTTCCTCTTGTCGAGCACGTGCACCACCTTGTGCTTGAAAGCAGTGTAAATTTCCCTGAGGCCTCGTGGTAGAGAGTGCTGGACATCCGCATTCTGAAGGCCGTCGAAGATGTGCCGAGTGTCCGTCGTAGCGCCACCACTCTCATGTTCACCAAATGCATCAGAAGAACCAGAGACAGTTGCCTCAAGGGTGCCAGCAAAGATGCGACCTATGATTTCCCTGCAATTACCATCATAACCGAGAGAGAAATTGCGATGTTCCCTGACAGCACTGTCTTCTGGAGTAGTTCCTGTGTCCTCAGGGAAGGTCGCGCATGGGGGGAGATTAGAGAGGTCGAAGCGCGCAAACACGTCCCCACCTACCGCAGAAGAACACATAGCAGAACCTCCGGAAAGCGCATCGAAAGACAGAGATAGAGAAAGCACTCTTCTCCTTTCAAGCACCAGCGGATTCGAGAACAAGCGCCTGACGTGCTCGAGTTCATCCATGGGCGCAGTAGCTTGGACCATACACGGATGCCGCGAGACGAGCTTGATAACTCTACGTCGTCGAAATGATACCATCCAGAAGAGAGAAAACAGAAGTGAGCTTGGGCCGCAGGGCAAGAAACACATGCGCTTACATTTGTGTCCCGTCTAGAACATCGTCGGGAGTAGTTGGAACTCGTCTGACGAGGGTAACGCCCGACAAGACACGACCGCCAGATGTCCGCGGAACTTTTATGTGTTCCAAGATAGAAAAGCTCGGGCCGCGAAACATTCGTGGAATTTTCATATGTTCCGCGACTACAAAAGCACCCAAGGAATAGGGACCCCCTCATCGCAGTCGTGTAACCGCCTCGGCGTCCGGCTCACCAACTGGAACGTAGCGGCGGACCACTCCCGCCATGAAGATATTGAAAATACGCAGAAGTTTCGGACTTTTCGTCAAAAAAAGAGCGGGTTCTCGACAGCACCCGAAATAGTGTCACCTCGGCCCGCCATCCCAGAGGGTCTGAAATGTCATTCGAGGTACAATCGGGCGCGGCAAGTCCGAAAAGTTTAGGCGAAACGGACAGCTTTCGCTAATTAAAGCGCAGGCCGTGAAATATTCGTGGAATTTTCACATGTTCCGCGACTACAGAAGCACCCAAGGAAAAAGGACCCCCTCACTGCAGCCGTGTAACCGCCTCGGCGTCCGGCTCACCACTTGGAACGTCGCGGCGGACCATTCCTGCCGTGAAGATATTGAAAATACGCAGAAGTTTAGAACTTTTCGTCAAAAAAAGAGCGGGTTCTCGACAGCACCCGAAATAGTGTCGCTCCCCAGGGGGCTTATTCCCCATAAGCGAAACTGGGTAATGCTCCCAGAAGTGACCATCCGAGTAGACTGTGAGGACCCCGGTCTCTACTGTTTCAAATGGAAATATAAGCCTTGGGCATAGGGCCCGTGATTGAGGGGAAAAAAAAAAGAAAAAAAAAAATAGTGTATCTCCGGCCCGCCATTCCAAAGGACCTCAAACGTGAGTCGAGGTACAATCGGGCGCAGCAAGTCCGAAACGTTTGGGCGAAACGGACAACTTTTGCGGATTAAACCGCGGGCTTTTTCTTTTTTTCCGCAGGAGTTGGACTGTCTACTTGCACAACTTCCCCTGGCCCCTATGTTAAACTTGTGAAGGGTACACCCCTCAAAGGCAACTGCCCACATCGAGTGAGGACAACCCCGCAACGCGGGCCTTTTCCTTTCCGTAGTAGCCCTTGTCGCCCCACCCTACAGCGAGTGAGGAGAGGCCCAGGGAAGGAGTATCGGCCTACTATTGTAAACAGAGTCAACGAAACAAAATCTTTTCTGGAAGACGGGGAGAACTGGCTTTTTCGCGGGAAGACGAAGAACGCCGGAACGAACCGGAATTCGAAATTTGAAACTGGCGCGGAGGATGGCATACCACAACCCATCGGGCCAGCGGAGGCGAAACCTAGTGTTGAGGAGAAAGAGAACAGAGTTCACGAGGCTCATGAACCTTGTGAACTATAGATAGATGGATATATCGATAGATAGATACACACACAGAGAGAGAGAGAGAGAGAGAGAGAGAGAGAGAGAGAGAGAGAGAGAGAGAGAGAGAGAGAGAGAGAGAGAGAGAGAGAGAGAGAGAGAGAGAGAGAGAAAGCAGGACCAATGGCACTTGCAAGAGCCACGAACACGAGAGAGAGGCAGGTGATGGCATCATGCCGCTGGATCTCTCACATTCTCTTCATACGATGTATCCGCCCCCGGCAGAAGAAGAAGATGTGAACGAGGAAGAGGAGGAGGAAGAGGGTGATGAAGAAGAAGAGGATTACGACGAAGAAGTGGAAGATGAAGGGGATGAGGAAGAACAGCAGCACAATGCAGCAACTGAACAAGATCACACACGAGCAGAGAAGTTCGCAATGGCATTGCTGTATCTCGCCGAGATACACACATCCCAAGATGTGCTCTTTGAGATGAAGTACGATTTCGATCTACACGAACATGGATAGGCTGTACAACCGACGCAAAATGGATTGTATTTGTATCGGTACCTGCCCAAAGCGTGTAATTACGAAGTCATGGGCTTATGCATCTTCTTCGCCCAGACGACGAGAGTGGAAGCAGGGCAAGAAGTGAGCATATGCAATCTGTGGATCGACAGGAAGCGGGTCATCACCAGATATGCGGTACAGAAGAAGGACTTCAAACCAGAAGCATATCACGATCCGAAAAACGTCATCAGTCAGCGGCTCAAAGCCCAGCCAGACCGGGTAAGACGGAACCTTTCATATGCCCCGCCACCATCTTTAACTGCAGACCACTAATGGTACCCAGCGCATCAGCCTGTCTCGCAGACAATTTGAAGTGGACCGATTACGTAATCGGTTAGTTTCAAGAACTGAGAACTAACGTTCTTGAAACTGACCAATTACGCAATTGGTCAATTTCAAGAAGTGCAGGGAGAGAAGATCAAGTGTAGTATCTGTTCAAATCAGTCGCCACCTTCCTTTCCCCGCCTTTCCTCGCATTCCCCCGCATTTCCTTTCCCATTCCCCCACCTTCCGCTGCCTTCAATCCCTCGCCTTCCCATTCAATCTCCCACCTTGCCCCCCTTTTACCTGACCCGTCGCCCATCGGGGCACTACCCCGCCTTCAATCCACCTTCAAGCCGCCGACTTCAATCCACGTAATCGGCCGGTTCATAAACGACCGATTACGTAATCGGTCGTTTCCGAAACTGACCGATTACGTAATCGGTCGTTTCTGAAACTGACCGATTATGTAATCGGTCAGTTTCCAAAATCTGTGGTTGGTTGGTCCTCCTTTACTCCATAGCCGAGGCGTGAGCAGTTAAGGCCGGCGGCCATAGCCAGGCAACCATGGCAGTCGCCACGGTGTCAGGCTTGGTGGGGGCAGTCCTCCTTCACTCCATAGCCGAGGCGTGAGCAGGCAGCCGAGGCGAGAGCAGATTCTTCCCGCCAAAATCCCTCGTCCTCGTTCATGAGTGATAGAGAGAGAGGGGCTATTTGGCTATGTGGTCGTGTGTAGGAAGGCAGATGATGTGTCTACCTGGCTATTTAGCCGTCTGGCTACATCGTTATCATGTGGGTATATAGTTATTTCGCTTTATTGCTACGTGGCTATTTGGCTATATGGTTACATCGCTATTTGGCTATGTGGTAATGTGTCTCTGGACTGGTTATATGTGTCTACGTGATACGTGGCTATGTGACTATTTAACTACGTTGTTCTGTGGCTAAAAATAAAAAATAAAAAAATATGTGGTTGGGTTTATACTACCTTCAATACAGTGGTGTTCCCC